CAAAAAGCCATCCTTTTGTATCCACTTTCTATCCATTCCCTGATGGCACAGACCGAATTCTACTTCTGTGATGATCTCGTCAATCTTCTGCATCAGCCCTGAGTGCACAGTATCTCCTGCTATTGAGTTCCAGTGGGTATAATCTATTCCCCCAGCTATATTTCAAGGGGTTCCAGGAATTTACTGTCTCCATGGGTGCTAGCACAGTGCTATACATATTATGGGTCCTTGATATTTGGTGAATGAATGCCTTATGAGTGTTACCCCTGACATCATGCAAATGTCAGCAGCAGAGTGTAGGCATCATGAAGGTAGAACCCTGGAGAACAGACAGCTCAATGTGTAGCAAAGCTCTATAGTCAGTCTTAAGACAGGGGTACTTCTTTCCTTTGCATTTAGGAAACTAAAGACATGTGCCAGGGTGTTGAGTTTCCCCAATTTGGCATCTTCTACAAATATCCCCAAAGGATAAAGGCTGTTCTCACCTCCTTTATTTATGTGATCTGACCCACATTACACACAGAAAAGCTTACAAGTAGGAGACTATGAAAGCCAAAATAATAATGTGAGCCTGGGGGACACGCTTTCTCCAAGGTATACTGAATGCTGGGTGCTCACACGCCAATAAGAAAATCCATGCTGTTTTCTTTTCCAAGAAACACAAAATATTTAATTGGATATGTACTTTCAAAAAGAGAAAAACTCATTTAGAAATGACCTACTTCATTCTTATGAAAGGATTTTTAAATGTGTTTCAGATTTTGGCCCTATAGCTATTCATTTCTTATTCTAAGGTGATTTTAATTTTTTAATTTATGACAGTTGCACGTATAAGTGTGACCTACAGGTTGAACTCCTCCCGGCCTGAATTTTATATTTAGGCTGCTAAGGGTGTTTAAAACTGAGTGCTGACTGTTTTCTATGGTACTTCTCATCAAGCATCTAACCCAGGGCACAACCAAGCAGAAACAATACAATATCCACATTAACTGTGGAAGGAAACACAGAATATTTTTCTAAGGTAACTGACCCAACAGGCAGACAGGGGCGAAAACTATCCCCAAACACAAAACAGGTATTTTTATGTACATCTGATACACAAAATCAACCAATTTCACAGAAAGTTCAAAACAAAACATAACAATGTTCTCCCCTCTATGGCGATAGATTTTTCTTTGATTCTGGTTTCTGAAAGGAATCTCCATGGAGGACTGTTACCATGGGTAATAGTTGGCTGTCTCTGTATTTTAGAAGAGGATGCCAGGGACAATTTAAATTATGCAGTTTGCACTTTCATATTATAGCGTGCATCTTCATGAATCAAACTACACAGACAACTTGATGTTAAAAGATAAAAAATAAGTGGGGGCCTGCCAGTAGCAACAGTCAAAACAGAAATATGTGGTTAGAAGATCAATGTACATGAAAGAGAACAGAGACACCAAAGAATCTTATGGTATGTCACAGGAAGCTCTGTGTGGCTCCCATTCCCAACTCCATCCCTCAAATGGCTTCTTATTCAGAAAAAGATTCTAATGGTGGGTGAATAGTTACAAAGCTGCAACAATGCTCATATGGCAAACAGACATCAAATCACCCTTTCAGTACTCTAGAGCCTGCAAAAATCTTCCAAAGATGAAGCTACCTTTAGATGTGGCCTTTACATGTAAGTCAGGAGAGCTTCCCCACGCAAAATGGATGTGAGGCAGGGATGCCCTGCTCCTCCACCCACCTATGATTCTGGGTGGGCAGCATCAAGTCAGGCTGTCGTTGTTGAATAGCTAAGTCATATCTGTCTCTTTCACGATCCCATGGACTGTAGCCCACAGGCTCCTCTGTCCATAGGATTGCCCATGGCCAGAATACTGGAGTAGTTGCCATTTCCTTCTCCAGGGGATCTTCCTGACCCAAGGATCGAATTTCTTTCTCTTGCATTGGCAGGCGGATTCTTTACCACCGAGCCATGTGGTAAGTCCCAGATAGGGCTCACAATTCCTCTGTTACCAGGGCCTCCAGAATGAAGTGCTAACACGTTTTGAGGGAGTCAGGTGACTGAGAACTCATGAAGGCCTGCCTCCCTAACAAGGGGAACAATTCGATTATTCTGGTTGTGGAAGATAAAAGACAATGCTGTAACAGTTCCTTTCAGAGACGTCAGAAATCATCTATTGACCTTTCGAATTTAAAAACATTTTGTGACTGCATTTGTACATTTTGCTTGTAATGAAACTCTGACCTAGGGAATGGGTTTCAGTCATTGCATTTGCCTTGGAGAAAAGAAATAAGACACCTGTGGGCTTCCTCTTCCCTTTTTTATTTTTAAGCCAACGCTTTATGTTACTGTCACTAGATTTAGCTGTTGAAGCTTTTAAGGCTAATGGTTAGCTGTAATGTACCAAATAGTACAAGAAAGAAAAGGAGAAGAAATTAATTTAGTTCTCCATTTGTCAAGATTCAGTCTGGAAGATTTTTTAGGAACCAATCTAAATCTAGGGGATGGCCTGGACCTTTAAAATGGGACATGGAATCATTCGGCTCCATAACCTTTAATCTGTTTGAAGAAAGGAGCAAATGTTAAATTCCACAAGTACACTTTCTGGGCAAGATAAATATATATAAGACTGCTTGTTAAGACATAGCAAGCCTGTGAGATCACATCCATTAAGGCAACGGATTCTCCAGTTTTGTTTTAGAGGCAATTTTATTTTAACGACTCTTGGGTGTGCCACTGAGAAATCAAGGCATTCATCACCACAAATGCATTTTGTGTGTAGAGAGGGTTCAGCTAAGAACATCAAGAGGCCAAAAGTGCATCTGTGAGATCATCTTTCGTGACCTCGAGCTGAGAGGCCAGGAGAAGAGGAGGAGCAGACGAGTCCCTATAAAGGTGCCTGTGACGTGGCCAGAGACACAGCACTGCTCTTTTTAAAGTTTCCTCTTAAATGGAGCCTCCGTGGTTGGAACTGTGATAACAGTGAGTTGCAGCTGTTTTAGGACACGGGATGAGCTTCAGTCTGGACTGAAGGATCAGGAGTGTGATTGAAGCGCCTCTGTTGAGTTGCTGAGATTGATGGTGAGAGGGGAGGAGTTGAGGGGCTGTTAAGAAGGATCTTTAAAACAAATAAAAATAGCCTAAGCTAGTGAGAGGCCAGCCACAAATGAAAAGTACTGGCTCCACACTATGGAGAAATGTGGCGCTTATGCTGTAAACTTGACTGGTTGCCTAGATGGAACCTTCGACAAGGAGAGGTAATCAAGGTGGGCTCATACCTGGGCAACTTCTGTAAAGAGAAAAGACCACAGGCAGGGCAGTGGCGAGTGGGCTGATGTAATTTACAATGACATTCAAAGGGTCATTCCTAGGAAAATTCGTGAAAGCCGGTAACAGGAGCTCAAGCTTAATTGGCCCGCTACTGGGATAAGAGGGGAGAAGTCATGAAAGGCAAACACCTGGCCCATAGCATGGAGAGATGTTAGCGTGGCTGCTCTAGAAATCCAGTCAGGAAGGAGCATCTTTGCTGTCCTTTTCAACAATGCAGAAAGTGGGAGCCGTCTATTTGCTCTACTGATAACCTGAGCTTACTTAAGAAGCAGAAGAAACTAACAGAAAGCTAAAAGGGAAGCACACACAGATAAGAATTTAGGAAGCGGCCTGGATGGAGCTGAGCTTAGAGTAAGACAGAGACACCAATTGATGGATTTTCAGAAGCTTTTCAATTAAGGGCACACACTGATGTTTTCACAAACACCATTCAGAACCATCCTCACTCGTGGCTTGTTTCAAAGTTCTCTGTTCCACTGCAGTACTTAAGAAAGGTGAAGAAAACCGAAATTAGACCATCTACTGTTATATTTCATAAACTGATGAGGCCTCCTCTTTCACTCACCACTTAGAATTTTCATTTGTCTGTCTCACCGAGTCCTGTGAAAACTGAAAACATCTCCAGAAAGTTAATGTGAAGGATGTTGGCCACATCTAGGGTGGTAAGGAGGATAAAGACAAGTATACTATTCAGCGATTTTAAAGAAATCCAGTGACAGGATTGTGCAGCAGAGCACACGGCTCAGAGAGGGAGTGCAAAGGTTAACTTTTAAAGAGATTTGGTTTTTTTGGTCTCATAGAAAAATTACTTTTCCATGTTTCTGGGGGCAGGTACCTGTCGACAGCAGATAGGTGCAGCCTTACGTAAGGAAATCTTGCATGACTAGCTGACATGGGAAGGCTGTAACCTTTCCCACCCTGGTTGGCAGAGGAAACTCCAAGCCTCCCAGACAAGCAACATCAAGCATTGAGAGCTGCTGAGGAATAGGAAGAAGGGGCTGGAAGGCATACCTCCTCCCTCAGTGATGGTCAGAAATAGGAGACAGTGAAACTTTCTGAATAAGTTTCAGAGAGTCCAAAGAGCAAAACCACAGAGTGATAACTGCTGTGGCTGCCTCTCCCACTCCTCCAACGTTTAACGGAGGGCAGTGAGGGGTACAGGAGTGCCCAGCGTGGAAAGGACGGTGGGTCTCCAAGAGATACACTGTCAGCAGGTACTCTCTGGGATAAAAAGGATGATGCATTTAGGAACATGGCCCACATAGGCATGGTAAGTGTGGGTATTTTCTTTCACGTGGATTAAGATGAAATTAAGACAAGGAGAGGATCCAAAGCCAGGATACTTACCATTTTGCCAACCATGGCTAAACACAAGCTATCCAGCCTCTAAGAGCCAGGATGCCATTTTTCCTAGCATTTTGCTTTGGACGGTGATGCTTAAAAAAGAATTCTGCAAAATAGTTGATCCTACTGTTAAATTGCTTGGATGTTAAAGATTTTTCTGAGGTCCTTAAGATTCAACTTGAGAACATAGTATCTAATGTCTTTCAAGTTACCAAATGAAGGAATACTTCAATTCCAAGGATTCAAAGAGACCTTTTAAGGCTTCTTTTTTTTATACATACCAGAAAGACAATACACATTCAGGACATTTTCAATGGCAATGAAGGTACCGTACCTGTGATGATGGTGAGGATGGTGGTGGTGGTGGTGGTGGTGGAGGTTGTTGTGGGAGGAGGGATAGTTGTGGGGGGATCTGGATAAAAAAAAAAGGAAAATCAAACCCACAATGCTGAACACAACAATGACCAGTAATGACAAAACAAAGGCATGAAGACACTGAGATGTTTGTTTGATGACTTTCCTCTTTAAAACTCAAAATCCCCACCCCCCCACAAAGATTTATGTCTTCTAATTACATCCCAAAGCCTTATTCGGAAGAGCTAAGAAAAGAAGAAAAGAAAATTTGTACTAATGAAGTGAACTAGGGATGAGAAGATGAGAAATAGAAAAGGGAGGAAAAAGTAAAAACATACGACACCCTCCCATCCGACTTCAAAGGGTGGGGTTAGACTGACTCCGTCCCCGAGAGGGTAGTGTTTGCAGTTCTTTTATGCTTTCACCGGTGGGAGGAAGGAGGAGATGGCGCTGCTCTATCTAAAGGGCTCCTATCGGCCAAGGCAGAGTGCTCGCTGCCTCTTGCTCTCTGACTGTTAACTTCATTATTCTCCATCAATACATCCCAGCAGGAAGGAAAACTACTTCTATACTTGTAATAAATACAAAGAAGAGAGAATGTCACCACTAAATATCAAGTTCTAGGCATGTGAGATTTTACTGAGATTTTATTTCTTAAAAGTCAATAAATTTTACAACTTATAAATATTAATGAGTTCATCGCCTTTGCTTAAGCCTGACCTACGTGGGCGACAGTGATAAACACCGAAGAATATTTCCATCTTGTAAACAAGAGAACTAAATATAAACGAGACTTGACCCTCAAAACCAGGAAATCTGATAGGGAATTCTCTGTCAGGTGTTAAGATACACTGTATATTCTTCTATCATCTCAAAAATTATTTGGGGGGAAAAAGGGAAGGCAAATATGAAAGAGAAAAAAATTTTCGACCCAAATGATCAAACTGAATGTGTTAAATTGTCAGCAAGACTTTGAACTAAAGCAATCATTCTGCTATAATAGAGCATTAGATGATTTGAAGGCTTTTGATTTTAAATTTTATCTAAAGCCCGTCAACTTTTTCTCCTTGACACATCTGGTGTCCTTTTATCTCCAAGTGAGCTCTCAGACTGTCTAATTAATACATACAAACTTTAATTATATATTGTACCTTTATTGTTGGCACAACTTCCTGGAAGTTTACAAAAACATTATCTCGGTGTTTGGTTAGATGGTCTGCTTAAAAGATTCTACCACTGATCAACAATCCGAGGTTTTAATTTTTCTCACAAACTTCTCTCACACATACACAAATGTACAAATCTGACAGGGAAGAATCAACAGCAGACGGGTCTGTTTTAGGGGAGACTCTGTTCATTTAAGTTGAGGGTGCCAGCAAACTACTAGTGAAAACAGCCTCACACAAGCGCCAAAAGGAATCCATTAAAAAAAAAAATCATTCTCCTCCAAGAAGTAGAAATGATTAAATTAATAATTTCAAACAACCTTTTTAGAGGAACAGACAGTATGTTCAGTCGAGCTTTGTGGATACTTGCTTATGGAGGCCACAGGCGCGGAAGCATTCTGTGACCCGGCAGACCACTGGATGCACCCACACCCCGTGGCAGATGCAGGCACAGGTGAGGTGGGGATGCAAGGTGAGCAAGGGCCACTGGTCTCTCAAGATATCCTGCTCTGCCCACGCCCCAGCTCAGCTGCACCCAGAGACATGCCTTCTTTGTTCTGATTCAGTGACGATATTTATCACTCAAAAGGAACATCTGTAGCTGGGAGACCTCCCCTGATATACTATAAAGCTATTTCTGTTCCTATTTCTAAATGCATTGGCACAAAAAAGTGTGATGTCCACCACACAATCAAAGTGCACCTGAAGGTGATCTGAAACTACGATTACGGACACGGAGAGGTGCAGAGACTAACGAGGGCAGAGATTTCAGAAAAAAGGTCACCAGTCCCTTTCAGTTTGTGAAAATCACACACTTTCAATTATTTTTACCGCTACTGGGGTAATTTGTCCTTCACATGTGGCTCAAGTGACCTAAATGAATTGGATTCCGTTACCAGGTATAATGCTTAGATCACTTCTAGTGTTAAGAGCAATGTGAGGTCACTATTTAAGAAAATACAGAGTGGAGCTAATAAGCTATTTGACACATACAGGCTAAAAGAACAAAACCAATTGGGGCTGAGGCACTAACTAGATAGATTCTCCAAGTAAAGAAGTTACTTCCAGAGAATTAAACATTTTAAAGGCACGTTAACTCTGAGTTCATAAAGAACTTTGAAAGTTACTGTAGTAGTGCAATCAATTGGCTTTGAAAAGAAAACCTACTTACCATCTTCTCAAATTGCTAGAATATTTTATCACTAGAGTAGCAACAACTGGAGTGAGCATTCCAGCCCGCCTTTCCAAGCATTACTGCTAGCACAGGCTACAGAAGCGGGGCAGCATACTGAGGATCGAGCAAATCGCCTGGCTCAGGCAAAGTGCCCCATGCTGGGTTGGGGAGGTAGGTGGATACAGATGCCCTTGCCTAAATGGATGGGTCTCTGTTTCTTGTCTTTTAAATAATGAACTCTGGCCCAGAGAGTTCATTCCCAAAGAACAATCTTGTTCTACCAGCAAGCAGAAAGAAAAAGAGGAACTACAAAGAAAGACACTCATTTCACTATAGACTTTGGAGTCAAAGTTTAGTGACTCTAAAACATACTTAGTAAACTTGTGCTTGGGCAACTTATATGACCTTTCTTAGCTTCATTGTATCATCTGCACAATGGGAGGATGACGACATTACCTGGTCATCCTGTTACTATGGAGATTGGAGGTGATCATGCATGTAAGACTGTTATCTTAGCACATGTAAGGAAGTGAGCCCTCAATAAACGCTAAGCCAGAAGCTGGGATCCAAAATGATTCAAAACTACCTGTCCATCAAATCCACAAAACGTTTCTCATCTTGAGATGTTGGAACAGTGGGTACAATAAATCAAAGTTGTTTTTCCACATAACTTAGTCTTCTGAATCAAGGAACCATATAATAGACTGGTGAAAATCTGTCTCTGAGTTTTTAACATCTGCCGTTTTTAAAGAGTTGAATGAGAGTCTGTAAACCTGGATAACAGCAAGTTTGGGGACTTGCATGAGGCTCAAACCCTGATGTTAAGGGGGGGTTCACAGAAGTAAAAAGAGGGGGTGGCTGAAAATGGGGCACACAGAACTTTTTTGCACCTACATGGAGAGCCACTCCTTTCACCCCGATCTCCTTAACTACTGGGGAGAATTAATGCTTAATGTGTGGACAACAGACAACATGGGGTGTGTGTAAAGAAAACACACCTCAGAAGTCTACACATAAAGTGATTAGATGTGAGCTTTTAATTCTGCTTTATGCCAAGGAAAAAAACCTCAGGTATAGTTAAGGACATATTTTAATATCCATGTAAACATGGGGTCAGTCAATCATTTCATTAAATGATTTTTCTAGTTCATCAAAAAGATTGCTCTCCTGTTTTCTTCATAGGGGAAGTGGTCAGGTTCTAAGATGTTATGGAGTAGATTTCCCATATGTAGATTTGTGTGTGTATATATCACATACACTTATTCTTCAATTATTTACATGGCTCACGTGAGAGAAATGCACATTTCTGTTCATATATTCACACGACACTGAAATTGTCATGTGTATGGTTATTCGTTCTGTGTCAAGTCAGCTTATGACTACTTTTCCTGGTGTAAAACTAACTGAGAGATTCAATTGGACAGGAGAGACTCAATTTGTCATCATAAGACTAGACAAGCTGTGCACTCCTCAACTAAATAGAGAATATTCACTAGACACAAAATTGACTGTAAGCTGTAAATGGGAAATAAGTTTAAAATGGCTGGTACAAGTAGATGCACAATACATATTTGTTGACTAGAGAGTAAAATTCCTGATCACGTGCTTTAATAATCCTGCAAAAAGATATTAAGAAAACAGACCAAAAAGAAAAAAAACCCAACATTTGTGTCTAAGGCAGTGGCTATAGTGGTTAACGGAGCTACCAAGGACCATCTATTTTTTTCCAAGTATTTACTGGCTTGCGACATCTGGGATGTAATAGCTTCATGCTGAAAATAGGATAGTTCTGCTCATCAAAACAGGAGAAAGGCTAGCCCAGGTATCATCAGGCAATACCACTGGGAATAGACTTTCTGAGCTGAAAAGCCATTAATTGGTAAGGCTGAATTTCGCAGTCATTATTTCTAACATAATCTCCACAGCTTGTGCCTGAGGACACAGCTTTCCTACTCAGCATGACTAGAGTCTGTGATCTAGTGGGAAACCCCCATGGTTAGAAAAGGAAAAGAAAAGGCGCTCTCCTCCTAGTGGAGGCACGGGGGTCCACCTCGGGCCATGCTTCTTTAATTCTTGAAGGAAACAAACTGGTGTTTTGGCTTGCAACTTGGCCAAAAGCTTTAGGAGTGAATTACAAGCAGCAGCTACACAGTAAATGAGTCAAATGGAAGAGGGCTTCATCTTATCACATACCGTATACATACAGCATATAATCCGAATGAGCTTTCCCCACTATGTTGGAAGCCTCACAGCGGTAGGTCCCGTTATCTGTTTTGTTCAGGTTATTGATGAACAGGTTGGGCCCCGAGAGCACGGCATGTTGAGGCATTTCATCATCGACTCTCACCCAAGTCACCATCACAGGCCTGCGGAAGGAAGGGAGAGAGGCAGGCTGCATTATGACTTCCCACCAAGATGTCTGCATCAAACTTCTCACCCACGCAGTAAATGAATCCCACGCAGGGTGACACAATTAAAGAGGACCTACTGGAGATAATTTTAAGTTCACAGAATTACAGCTGTGAAGGCTCCACAAATCTGTTTGGAATATAATTTTCTTAAAAATATTATCAGTTGTTGAAAAACTTTCAACAGGCCACAAGCAGGAGTCTCATTATTTCCAATCCATCTTCAACAAACCAGCAAATAAACCATGTGCCCTATTTTTATGCCCTGCTGTGTGGTTTCACACCAATTCAGACGGGACAGAGCTCACCCATTGTTAATCATCTCATTAATTAGGGGGGGGAATCAAATCCTGGGCTAGTGATACATGCATTAATCTCGTGGTTACTAACACACAGAGATACTGGCTTAGAAAGTTGTGATACGTAAGTGGATTTCTTGTTTTGCAGAAATGAGTGGACTTTTACCTCTGAATAGTGCTTTCTTTGGCCTCTGCTATTTGAAAAAGAAAAAAAAAAAAATCACCTCTTCTCATTCTGGAAAGATGCAGTCACTTCGTGTCCCCTTATTCCCTACCCTTAACCTAACCTCCACCAACCCAAGATGCCACCACACCCTCCGAGGCCAAGTCCACCGATCTACATGCTCCTTGGCAAAGTGCCTGCCCTCCCTGGCTCTCCAAGGCCCTCAGCGATGCTCCCCTTGCACGGCGTGTGCACTTGCCGGCGCCTGGGGACAGGCTCCCAGATCAACGGCTGTGGAGTGATGACACCTCCATGTGGACCCCTGGGGGCCTCCAGCACGGGCTCATCAGAGCCAAGTTTGTTTTCATGATTAGAGACCACATTTGTATCCATCAGGAAAAAGCAAATTTCACAAGGTACTCCAGAGCTCCAGCTGCACACACACACACAGAGTCTCTTTCAAACTCACTGAATTTATGATCCTTCAAGGCAGCCCCTATGAAATCAAGGCCACAGCTAGGACTGGGTCTGAAAGCTGCCATTTTCAAGGCAGGGTCACAGGGATCCAAGCACAGAAGTAGCTTCACTTCATGCACGACCTCCAGGAGCAGCATCAGGACCACAGACCCATGCTTCATAATCAACGGACACTCAAGTGAGCCCTGCCAAGCAGCATTCGTTTTCCAGGGGGATGTGAAGTCATGATTTTTCTTTAATTACACGTGGGTCTGTCATCACCACCCAGTAAATTATTTAAAAATGAGCCTTGCATATGTCTTCCTCGCAGGCAATGGCGAATGGGTCTGCCTGGCAATCAGATCTACTGTCCCGCTGCTTGACAGCTGAAACCATCAGTGGGGGTAAGCGCCGAGAACATTCACAACATTTAATGGCAAGTTAAATTACCATTTTTATTGTATGCAATTTCTTGAGAAAATAAATAGGTAATATGCTAGGAGGGCCAGCAGCGAGTAACGCGTGCTTGCTCAGAAAACCGTGCACCCAGGCCGATTGGAGAGGAACAAGCAAATACCCTCTCTGGCATCAATGTCCCGAAGGAAACATGTAATTTACTGTCCCCGTGGCACATTCAATTGAACACACTACCTTCTTCAGAGGAAAAAAAAAAATACAGAAACAAAATATAGGTTAGCAAGCCATATTCTGTAAATGTGGTTAATGTGGCTGGTACTATGTGTGGCAAGAGGCCGGGGAGAATTTATTCTTTTCCGCCACTGGATGGTTTTAGAGGGGAGGTAAGCTGCTAACAGGGACCTGACTCAAACAGTTTACACAAAGAAAGAGCTGAAGCTTTTGCAGTGTTCAAAGGAGAAGAAGACTGCTCTGGTAAAGCTGGAAGCACTTAAAACCAAGTAACTTCGAAACACCTGAGGAAAAGGAAAGCAAAAGGAAGACCACCTCCTCCTTCCTAAAGGTCATTTTTACAGCTCCCGACAGTGAGTACAGAGAGGAGCAAATTCTCGGCCCTGGAGAAGTTTGTGTGAAATAGGGACGGTTGAGGAGGGAAGCGGGCCCACAGGCCCCCTCTGGCTCTGTTCGCTCAGAGCTCATTGCTTAGCTGTCACGGGAAGAGTTCTTTCCGAAGACTTGGAGGAAGCTTTGTGAAGATGTGAAGATGCTCTGAGGTCCTTGCATGAAAACTGTGACAAAGATGGTGGTTAGCAAAACACTGAGAGGGGGAGATAACCACAGCATGGGGACAGCAGAGGGAGCTCAGTGCTGGTTTTTGTTGCGGAGGAAAAAAAATCTGAGTGCTCCGGGTCCCCACACTGACCTGTGGTTCCAGGTGGTGAGTCCACAGAGTGTCTTTCCCCTCAGTTTGTTTATTCCCAGGTAGAAACAATCTTTGTTCTCTTAGAAAGATGAAAAGACTCCTCCTCCTCCCCAAATGGAACTAAGAGCTAAAGGGGTACCACCACATGGCTTTTGCTGTATCAGTGGTAACATATGTCCTTTCTCTAATTCACTTTCACTCATTATTCAGCAGGGGCAAGTGAAGTAGCTTTTTTATTTTTTTACACTTTTCAATAAAATAAAGAGTAAAAGTCAGTTCTTTTCCCTTCTGCAATAGTGTGTGTACAGACACACACACACACACACACACACACACACACACACACACACACACACACACTCCTTGAGAAAAATTCCCAAACCACTCCTTACTAACAAAAATATTTCTAGGAGTCACTTTTCCTTGAGGGAAGAAGCAAAATGACAAGTAAGGCAAATTCATTTGCCTATAGCTGGCCCTAAACACAGCAGCTTAATTTAAGTCTGAAAACCATCTTTCCAGCAGCTTAAGACATTAGCACAGAAGGTAGCAGATATATCATTAGATTGTGGGCACACTAAAAATTTATTAGGATTATTTTATGTGGGTAAGAGAAAATAGTTCTGACAATCATGCTGATGATAATAAAATAGAATTAGCTGAGATTTCAATCTTAGCTGGCATTTCATTTTACTCCCGATCCTCACCCTTAAGAACCACAGATATTTATTCCACTTTTCACTGAATATTCTTTTTATTTCCTGAAAAAGATCTTCCATCCTTTACAGCAGGAGACAGGTGACAGGCCGATGAGTTGTGAATGCACATGTCTGTGTTGTGACATTTACTGCTCATGACCCTCTGCCAACCTTGGCCTTCAGAACTTACTGGGGCTTCCCGATGGCTTCACATGTTAACTCAAGCGCGTCCCCTTCCCGGGTTAGGCCTTGTAGAGGGTAAGTCATCTGAATATGCACTTGAGGCTTATCTGTGTGACAACAACACAAAGTATAATGTTTAGCAAATGATATCATCAGGCAGAACCAGACTTGCATGCTGTCACAGACCCCATTCTACCAGCACTCACACACTCCCCATCCTCATGCCTTCAGTAACATCCTTCTAATTAGTGAGTAATCCTGGCATTTGCTCAAATTAAATTGCCTAATAACTCTAAGGAGTGAACCACAAATAGATAAGAGATTCATAAGCCAACTGTGCCACATCAAACATTTCCTGTGAAACACATTTTGTTACATTGAAGTTTATCTCCAGACTCACTCAAGCTAAAGGAAACTCATTTGCCTTCATGCTGAGGTGAAGCCACAGATATTTGTGGTGCTCAGAATTGATACATTTTATCATAGATCATATATTACTATGTGACAATATGTTGTGACACTGCATATTAATAAGTTTGCCTCTTGTTTTCAAGTGGGAAAGGCAAAACTTCTGAATTCCGTCCAAATGGCTCTAAGAATAAAGAACTGGGAGGTTTTGCTGGCCCCTAAAGAAACTCTATGACATCTCAAGGTAAACACATCAGAAGGAAGGAGACTGAGAGTCTACTAAGGTAGGAAGCACCATTGGTGGTGGAAAATGCCGTTTTAGGGATGAGAACACTGGTAGGTACCTAGAGAATGATGTAGGTCATTCAAGGTCAAAGAGATAAGATAATGAGACAGTCCCAAGAAATGCATGTTTATAGGAATTCAAACCACATTTCCCAATGGCAATCCATAATTAAAGCCAAGAGTTATCGAGTAGAGCTTCCAAATGCAGTCAAGTACTTGGGTATTCTGAAGTGACACTGTCCTAAGGGAGAGAACTTTCACAATGTGAAAGTTTCATGATGAATAGGTATTCTTACTTCCACTACCTATTTAGAAACTGTGAGTTTGTGGGGGTGTGGGAATGAGTGAGGAATGCTAGGAGGTACCCGGACTAGGGAGAGAAGGGGAGGGGTCAGAATTAATGTGGATACACACCCAAATATATTTACAAATAAAACCTGAAAGGGCTTGGGAAGGTTTTTTTTCCCCTTAAACTGAACTAACAAGCTAGTAATCCCTAAATCAGTTTTCTCATTTAATTTTGTGCCTCCATAAATGTATATTTTTGGAAATGTACTCAAGAGGTGATACATGTGAGAGGGCAAGACATCAGTTGGCTGAAAGGTCAAGCCAATTTCCATAACTTTACTTTCTTGGACAATCACATCATCCAAACAACAGCCCCTTGCCCTTTTATAAGGAGTGGTTCGCTCATTATCATTCTCCCTATGGAATCAGGATGCAATGAGAAATATGGCGGGGCTCAACCGTCTCAACCTGCACACAGCCAAACAAGCCACATGAGGTCCTCTCTAGGGATGGCTGTGTTGCAGGTGCATTTTTATAGTCGTGTTCCTAGCACTGGATCTTTCTGACCCTTGAAGACCATGTGGCATCCAAAACCTTTTGAGAGAGGCTTCTTATGCATTGGTGTGCACTGCACACTGCATTGTTAACGCTTTCTGAGAGCTAAGTCACTTGCCAGAGCACATAAGTTAACGGGACTGAAAGCTCCAGCTGACTCCTGCAAGCAACACGATTCTATTCTTGGACTTGCTGGCAAAGGAGAATGGCACAGAGGTCTCCAGATACTGATCACTGGGTGGGGAGGCTAGTCATTAAAGAAAAGCAGAAGTACTCATAAACAGGATGGCTCTGAATGAACACCGACTGCTGGTCAAGAGCTCCTGGCCACCCTCCTTCGAGAGTTACAGATAATGCTGTAGACTATATGCAACCAGTGGTGACATATGGGGGTCTATTATTTTTGGTGGTATAATACATGTGCACACAGAACTGGGTGGTGCAATTTATTTTAAAAAACCCCACAAGATATCAAAGAGAAAAGGGGAAGAAGGTTATGCCATTGAAAACACAGACAATAAAATCCTGGCTCCCTTACAATTCATACTCAAAAACAGCAGCACTTCTAGAGTTTCTGGTTAGGAAACCTCTGTCATCCTTACCCAGGAACTGTTCTGAGGAAAGCTAAATTCAAAGCCTCAAATTTGGGCTGAAATGTAATACTTGCTTATAGGTTCATCTCTGATCCACGGAAGGTCTACATTTTCCATGCACTGCTGACTTCGGTCCATTAATTAAGGAGAAGCAGAGTGCTTGCTGGCTGATGTGGAAGGCTTTTTTGGGGTCCTTTCTCTTCTTTGTGTAATTTACAAGCAAACACAGAGAGCGTATTTTTCAGCACAGTGCACTAAGGGTTTTTACATGCTCAACTTCCATTAATAATAAAGACAGTGTTGAAAATCTATCCACCCTGCCTTTTCAGTACTACTGAGTTTGTTTTACTTAAATGCCTTTTATGCTCCTAATGGCTATTTACCGGTTGTCAATGACTCACATAAATTAGGAAGAACATGTTAAGGTCTTGCTATACCTGGGATTTACATTAAAAAAAAAAAATCATATACTAAGCCTTAGAAAATACACTTTCAATTTTGATAATTGATTTCCCCAATTTACTCTTTAGGTTTCTGGAGAAACATCTACCATCTACTTATAGGTACAGCTGCCACTGCTACCTTAATAGCTGGCTAGAAAGGTAAACATTAATCTCGCCTGTATTAATACAGAAAAATGTCCTCCTCTGTTGACACATGTAGTATTTATAGGCATATTATTCAACTGTGAGTAGCTGAGCTATATTTACGCCAAACCTAGAAGCCAAACAGAGGGTTTATGTTCCAAGATCCATCTCTGGGTGAAGGAAACTTAGAAAACAAATTTGATCCCCACTCCTTTGTCCTCAAAGAGGAACTTGAGTCTTCTCAACAGGTGGCATAGAAACCCTGGGGTTCTGCTGGCCCCTCTAGAACCCAGGGCTGTTAAGATTTCCCCAGGAAGACCCTGACTACAATCTGAGTGTGTCAAAATACTGAACAATCCAGATGGCTGATGGAATAGTCCAGAGCTCATCATATGCTTTAATTATGTTCATAAATCAAATGTTATAACCCACCAAATCTTTTCTGAAACAGAACCAGACTCCAAGATTTATTTTTAAGTAATGAGCTAAGTAAGGCCTAGTACATTTTCTGGGTGATCACTTTATGCCTCAGTTGGTGTTGGAAGGCATAAGGCTAAAAGCCAGATGACACTTTCTGCCCAAGTGCAATAACTGTCCAGAAATGTATCGCTCAGAATGGCTTAATGTCATTATAAAATGGAACTGCTGTATAAAAATAAGAAAAATAGTTAGGTCTGTGCACTCATGGAACATTACAGTTACAGAGATGGCATCACCAACAGACAATCAATTAGGTCGAGGGATCTGAGGTTTTCATAATACACTGTAATTTTTAAAAACCCCCATAAAAGACATTTAGCAAGAGTGCTATAGCAGATAAAATTTGGCCATTAGTCAAAGTTGCACAGAGGGTTAAATACCAGGAGACTTTAGGTCACACTACAGTAGCAACCAATTAAAAAAATAATATTAGAAAGACATTCTGATTTGATGAGACTTTCCTTAAATGGACTTTGCTCTCTATAAAGGGGGAAATATATATATATATATATATATATATATATATATGTAAAAGGAAACTCTTAAAGAGATTAGAATGGCTTGCTGGCAGATTACAATTGATTTCATGCCAGTTTGACCTTGTACCATATTCTATGATCTTTTCAGAAGATGAAACTCAAGACTCTGGAACCTGTATTTCACTTTCCCATGTAAATGAAAAGTCACAGTCTCCTTCTCTCTAGATTACTGTGCTAACATATCAGGTCTTTACAATTTCTTATTTTTAAAAAAAGAACACTGCGGTTTCCTTTTGCCTGGGATATTATCCTTCCCAGGTACCAGAGAGGAGTATTGCTGAAATAATACAGCACAGCGGGAGAAGACCTGTTAGCCCAGGGGCTCCTGACACTTTCCCTGCCTGAGAATTTAAGTCAGAGGACCTCACATGTTTGCTGATGTGCTGACTGCAAAGCAGGTCTAGAAACAAAAGTGCCAATGTGCTCCTGCAGGCTCTTCGTGTGACTGAGATTTCCTCCAACATTCTGAAACACCTGTTAGAGTGAGACCAGAGGCCTCTGGACCAAGTGTTCATTGTTTTGGGCAAAGACAAGGGCAGGGTGGGGGCCCAGATGAATCAGACTGGCAGGAGGGCAGTGTGGGTCAGTGACTGTGCATTCAGGTGGAGAAGCTTTACCTGAGGGTCTCTGTCAACCATGGAGGGTTACTGCAGTTTGGAGGAGCATGGCGACGCCAAGATGAACCTGAGATTTGGTGAGGGGTTAGGGGTAAGAACTGACTCCTATAACACGGCTGCCTAAACTGTTGGGCACGGCTGCTTTTGCTCTGAAGGAGGGCGATGTCTAGTGACACAAGGAGGTTGGGGCTAGTAAGAGAACAGTCACAGCAAGCTCTCCAAGGAGTTAGAGAGAACATGTTGCAAAAGGCTTGCTTTCCATTGTCATCATACATTCATGAAAAACTTCCACTGCTGTTTATTTTGTTTGTTTGCAAGGTGAAGGCCCTCCTGCTGTTACATCTGCTATATGAAACGGAGCACTTCAACGGCACTTCTCGAAGAGGGCTGAGCTCTGATGAGTGGGATGAGTCAGGCCTTTGAGGACGGGTGTGGGACTGAACAGCATGTGCCACATCACACAGTAAAATACAACTTCCTCTTGTTGCAACTTGTAAGTAGCTTTGTGGATACTGAAAGACTGTTTACCCGACAGAATCAAATTTTATTCTGTGATGTTGTGGCAGAGAGCTGTTCCCCATGCCTTTGAAGTGGGGTACACACTCACCCACACATCACTCTTCCAGATCTTTGAGAAATCTTCCAAATTTGAAAGTGAACACTGGGTGAGAAAACCCTCATAGCAAGAGTGTCCGCACAAGCTCTGTAACGAGAAAAGTTTTCGTTTTTTGTATCCCTGGTGCCTAGAACAATGT